CCTCCCCAGCAGGCAGACACTAAACATGGTTTGCTCCTGCAAGTTATTTGGGGAATATTGGCTGCTCCATGGGTATCACACTTGGGGAACCCCAGCCTCCCTGATTTCAGTGCTGGACCAGAGCAGGGAACGCTCTGGATCCTCCTCTGCCCTTCCCTGGAGCTGTGGGAGGGATCTCTGCCCTGGCACAGCCCTGCTGTGGGTCCCAGTGCCCCTGAGCAGCAGGGCCTGGTGGGCACAGCCCCCTCTTGCCCTCCCTGCCTTCCTTGGCTCTGTTCCTTCAGAAGGTGAGGAGCTGGAGCAGCTCAGGGCCAGCACGGATCTGGGTTTCTCCTGGAGCTCTTGGTTGTTCCCTGCTGCTGCTTTGGGCAGAGCAGGGGTTGGGCTGTGCTGCTGCCCCCTGGCACTACCTGGGCTCGTTTCCTTCACCAGCTCAGCCCCAGAACGTTGAGAGGAGATCCCTGGATAGCCAAGGCCAGGCTGGACACTGGGGCTTGGAGCAGCCTGGGACAGGGAAGGTGTCCCTGCCATGGCAGGGCTGGGATGGATGGGACTGAAGCTCCTTCCAACCCAAACCAGTCTGGGATTCTGTCAGGGGGTCTGGAGGAAGGTGCAGCTCTCTTTCAGCCCAGTGTGGCTCTGTAAAACCCAGGGGAGGCTGGGGGCCCCTGGGGAGCTCCTGAGGAGGGGATGCACCTGTGGAGTCCCTGTTTGTGGAGGTCCTGCCTGCATGTTGGGAGTTTGGCTGGCTAAGGACTGGAAAAATACAAAACCATGGCTAATTCCAAGTCCGGCACCTGCAAGATAACAGGGCCCTGGGGCCTAGCTGTAGTAGGATAACAAACAGTGAAAAAGACATGAGAAAAGAGAGATGTAACCCCTAAGGAATGAGGAAGAGTTCATGGCATAGTTTAACCAATAGATCGCTTGGCTTATAGAATATTCATGAGCTTATTATTTGCTGTATAAGTGTTTGATACTTTCTTCAATAAATTGGACCGGACCGGGTTGAACCTGTGATGAACCAAATGGTGTCCTGGTCCCCTTCCTTCGACAGCAGCAGGTCTCTGCCACCCCTCCTTCTCCCCTGGCAAAGAAAAGGCACTCTAACAGTTATTTGTGGGTGTTTTTCTTTGGTAAAGAACCCCTGCAAATCTGCACTAAAATAATTAGGTCAGGGCGTTAGTTTAGAGCCTTTGTTTCTTATTGTGCCAACAGAAAACAGATTAGGAGCAGTTTTTAGTGAGGTGTAGCTGGCACAGGAACACAAGGCCTTTGCCCTGTACACGAGTGCTCAGCTCCTGTCAGAGCTCCAAACCAGGTTCTAAGCTCGTCATGGGCTCCAAGAACTCGTTGTGGTTTGCTGTGGGAGATAGCTCAGAACAGAGCAAGTCTTTGTGCTCTTGGCAGGTCCAGTGCAGGGTGGGATAACTCTGCCAATTGTCTTGTATCTGCTGGCTGTAAATCTGTCAGCTCTGAGCTCCATCACTGAGCTGGAGAAAGCCACGAGTGCTCCTGAGCAATTAATTGGAATTAATTCTATGGCTGTGTTTGGGTAACACGACACTGGAGTGTTTTGGAAAGGCTGAGGGGACTTTTCCAGAAGTATTATCTTTTTAATTAAAAATGAAGGTATGGAGGCAAGATAAATGGAAGCAGGGAGCAGTGCCTGCTGCTGAGGCTCTCCTAAGTAGGTTGTGTTTACTGTTCCCTGGGAGTCTGAAGCTCCAGGTGACTGCAGCCTGCTGCCTTTCATAACAGCACCAGCTTGTTTTGCAGAAGGTGATTAAATCAGACAGGGGTGTACATTGAGCAAACAGGGACAATATCATTTTCTTATATGTTAGTAACTAGGTCAAGGGATGAAACAGAAAAGTACAGGTAATGGAAATTGCTTTTTAGAAAAAAAACACTCTGCAGCAGCTATAGGAAATCATAAACCAGTGCTGAAATATCAGATTTAATGGCCATTACTTTTTAATGAAAATATTCATTTCTTTTCAAGAGGAACATCTGTGAAAAGCCTGAATCGGTTTCTGCTACCTGAGATATAGTTTAAGCTTCATCTTCAGCATTTCAAGTGTGCCCATGTCCAACTGTTTGGGGTTTGAGGGGAGGGTAATGAGATATTCCAGTGGTATCCATTCAAATAAAAAGCACTGGGTACTTCCTTCATGGTCAGCATTTTGGTTTATTTGGAAAATGCCTTTTCCTGTAAGCTGGCACAGACATCACTGTCTCTGTCCTTTTAAAGGGACTCAGCAGGCACAGCCTGGATTGAAGAACAACAGAACAGTAGCAAACTCTGTGATAAAACATCAAGTTCTGAATTTTAAACCCTTAAAACTAAACTGCATTTTTAATTTTGTTCTCACTAATATGAGAAATGAACTCCTTGTGTGTTCAGCCTTCCCAGTGGCTCGGTGAATGGTTTTGGCTGTATTTTAAGAAAACAACATTTGATTTCTTCATTTATTCCCTCCCTTTCCTCCAGAAATTCCTGGCACTTCTGCAGCCTCCAGTTGGTGTTTGCTTGTTGGTGGTGTTAGAGGTGTTAGTGGTTTATTTGGCTGAATTAATCCATGAGCCTTAATTAGAAGGAATGCCTGGGGATGGAGTGTCCTGCCTTGCCGTGGCCCAGCTCCCCTGGGGACAGAGGAGACCTGGAAGGGCTGGGGAGGCCTTGGAGTGTCCCAGGTGACTCCTTTGGGTGCCCCAGGGGACACAGAGCAGGCAGGGAGGGGCTGGCCCAGCCTGGCTCCCATCCCATGGCCCAGGGTAGAGTCAGGGAATGGTTTGGTCGGAAGGGAATTCAATCCCATCCTTGCCTGGGTTCCTCCTGGAAATCAAAGAAACAACATCAGGGAACTCAGAACAAGGTATCTGACAGTGATCTGACAGTGACAGGGCTGGCAGACACATAAAATCATGGGATGCTTTGGGTTGGAAAGGGACTTTAAATCCCACCCAGTGCCACCCCTGCCGTGGCAGGGACACCTCCCTCCCACTGTGCCAATGTCCAGCCTGGCCTTGGGCACTGCCAGGGATGCAGGGGCAGCCACAGCTGCTCTGGCAATTCCAGCCCAGCCCCTCTCACCCTCCCAGGGAAGAGGAGCAGCCCAAGATGCCCCAAGCACTGAGGATCCAGGCTCCATGGCTGTGAGTTCCCTTGCCTGCTGTGAGCTGCTTTCCCTGCTGCTGCTGCAGTGTGAGGGACCTGGGCCCTGGAGATTGCCCAGCACGGCTCAGCTGGGGCTGCCCAACTTTCCCTGAGCCCTTCCAAATTTCCCCTTGCAGTTTTGATTCTTTGGGGGATTCATGCTGCTCTCATTGATGATGGCAGTTACTCCCACTCCATTCCTTAGGATTTTAGATTTGATTTAAATTAGATATTGGGAAGAAATTCCTGCCTGGGAAGGGCTGGGCTGGAATTGCCAGATTTGCTGTTGCTGCCCCTGGATCCCTGGCAGTGCCCAAGGCCAGGCTGGACACTGGGGCACCCTGGGACAGTGGGAGGTGTCCCTGCCATGGCAGGGCTGGCACTGGCTGGGATTTGAGGTCCCTTCCAGCCTAAACCATTCTGTGATTCTGTTTTCATTTTAATGCCACACAGGTTCTGCACACAGAGTAAGAAGATAAAAAAGGCCTATAAATAAACAATATCATAAACTAATTTTTAGACTAAACCATAGGAATAATCAAAGCAAGCAGACAGAAGTTGAGCAGAGCTGCCCCTTCACTGCCAGAGCATCAGCAGCATGTGTTAAGGATATTTGTGCATCAGAACAGCATCTGGAAACCCAGATGGAGGAGTGTCCTGAGTAACAAATGAGTGTTGTTCCTCAGGGATGAACACAGACTGAGTTCTACACATGGCTCTCTGTACCTGTCAGGACGTTTTCTCCCCACCAGCTCCACTGCTGGGATCAGTGCTGGAAGCCTGACTTAGGCCTGGCTTTATTGGTTTGGTTGGATGCTTTTCAGTGGGCTGAGGGACACTGAAGGGATTAAGCACTTGTTACACTATAGCCCTCTTAGGGCAGGGCAGCTGGGCTGCTGCTGGGGTGCCTGAACACTTGGGAAACACAAACTGTGAGCTTTGGAGAAGCCTGTTCTTGTGCACTTTTGGGGCCCTTGGCCAAGGGGGCCAACAGGTTGTAAACAGGGTTTGTGGGACAAATCTGATTACTGCAATTATGGCAGAGTTAGTGCTCAGGCCAAACTAAGTCTGTGGAAAAATCCTGACCACCTAAGGCTGGGAAGCAAAGAGGAAAAACAGGATTAGGATGCATTAGTGCAGGTTATTGTCCTTGCTGCAGCGAGGTGGAAAGCAGGTACATGTGATGTTGGAAAACAAGCTGTGTTTTGGGGTGGGTTCTGCAGGAAATGGGACACGCTGCTGTGCTGTGCCCGTTCCTCTCTGCTCCTGTCTCCCAGCTCCCATCCCTTCCACACAGATCCTGCCCAGTGCTTCACCCAGTTTGGTCTCTCAGAGGTGAATCCAAGTGTTCCTGGGACCAAGGTGCCGCTGGAGTGTGAGCAGTGGGAGGGACTGCAGCCCCTGTTCCACACCTGGGGGTCCCTCCCATTCCTGTCCCCCTCTGCTGGCTCAGCCCTTGTTCCATTCCACATCCCGGGGGGATTTTCCCCTCCTCAGTTCCTGGCTGGATCCAGGGTTACCCTGGGGCAGGAGGGCGTGGGAAGGGACCCCTAAGGATGATGGAGTCCAACTCCTGACCTGCACAGGACACCCCAACATTCCACCCTGTGCCTGAGAGCCTTGTCCAAGTGCTCTGGCAGGAATTTGGGGAATTAACCTAAAAACATCCTGATTATGGAGGCAGAACACCTGGTACAGTTACACAGCACAGCTCCCTTTGGAAAACCCTGTGTCTCAAATAAAACCAACCAGCTGCTCATGTTCTGTTGTGTAGGATCTACAAAAATAAAATCATGTCAAAGGGCTCACCCCCCTTCACCTTGCTGGGTTTTGCTTGCAGGTGCTGGAAGCATTTGCTGGGCGCCTGATTAAGGTGGGAGTTTTATCCAGGAGGGATATTCCCAACCTGACCAAGTACCAGATCATCCTGGCAAGGGATCAGTACAGGAAGAACCCCTCTGCACAACATGCAGTAAGTTCTTTATTTATTTCATGCTATTAAAGTGGTGAATAAATAGGAATAATCCATCATTACAATATTTCCGGAGACATTTTAAGTAGATTTCTGTTTTTAGCCATGGAATAAAATAGAATCACAGCATGGTTTGGGACAGAAGGGATCTTTAAGCTCATTTATGGAATCTGTTTATCTATTTTAAGATCATTTATGAAAAATATTCCTAATTGTTTGTATTTCTGGATGCCAGTATAGAAGGGTTAAGGAAAAGATCAGGCACCCCATTTAAGTGAAATTGCTTTGAGAACTTACATTGTAATCACTGACAGCCAAGTTTTCATTTTTCCCTCAGAGGTATATTCCTGGTTTTTGGTAAATCCTTATGGAATGGTCAAATTTTGTAAATTAAAAAAAAAAAGCCTAAAAAAGGACTGTGTGCCTCAAAAAGAGCAATGGGAAATCTCCTTCAGTGTAAGCAGGCAATTTTCCTGGCTTAATTCCATAGCCTGGGTGGATGTGCCAGAAATCCCAGATTTTCCCAAATGCTGATGGCTCAGCTGTCAGAGTCTGAGGGTTGATGAGCTGTTTTTGGGAGATGATGGAGGTATTTTGGAGATTATTTGGGGGTGGAAGAGGATTGCCCTCACTGAGCATTATGCAGTCTGTCCCGGAGGGCTCTGATGGACAGACTGCTCCTGGGCATCCCTTTGGGGTTTGCTCTGCTCCTCAGGTGTCACTCTGGTTTTGGGCAGGAATTGCAGTGGGATTCCTGCTCCTCAGCCACCTCCTAACTCGGTAAAAATCTGCATTTCTCCCCCAGGGAATCCATCAAGGCATCATTGAAGGAGACTTTGCCCTTTGTATCAGTCTGTACCACGGCTACGAGCTGCTGCTGCAGATGGGAATCCGCTCCTTGTTCATCTACCTGTGGGGAATCATGGATGGCTCCAAAGGTGAAACCTCCTCAGAGCATCCTTCCTGTCAGCTCCACCCCTCTCCTTCCATTTACATGGCTGTATGGCTGGTTTGGCACAAAACACATTAAGGAATGAGGGGCTGCAGATGGATTTGGTGTTTTGTTCCCCTTATTCACAGAATCACAGAATGCCCAGGTTGGAAGAG